AAACTAATTATACATTAAGGTTAAAATGTTATTTTAGTCCCCGGTACTTTGAGTCTTGGTTTATTTTAGTCCATGTACTTTGAAAATATTCATTTTGGTCTTTATATCTTTAGTTTTGGTTCATTTTAGTTCATGTACTTTGAAAATGTTCATTTTGATCCATTTACTTTTAAAAAGAGATCATTTTAGTTACTCTTTACAATTTTTTAACACAAACTTTACACATAACGGAAATCCTTTAGTATAAAATAACGTTTAAATTACGTTAAAAAATATATGGATTGTAATGTCATGTTGAAATTGTGATAGAAAAACGAGATTAAAAATAACATTATTGGACCAAAATGAATATTTTGAAAGTATAGGGACTAAAATGAATCAAAATTGAAAGTACAAAGACCAAAATGAACCAAAGTTGAAATTATAGAGATCAAACTAGTATTTTAACCCAGAGTTAATATAAAAACCCACTTTTCTAAAAAAAAAAAAAATGGTTGGAATTACAACCAGTAATTTGTTTTTCTTTTTTTCCTTTTAAAAAAGAAGTTAAAATAGACCCAAAAATTGAATATCCGAAACCTTAAGAAATGAATATTCTCAAGTGATACAAGCAATAATAAAATTAAAAGCTTTCCTAAGCCACCTCTCCCCTCGACAAAATTAACCCTAACTTACAATTGCAACATTCATCTCTTCAACTTCTCCACCTTATCCATATCCTTAAAATTATAAAAAAAAAAAAAAAAAGAATTATATAATGAAACAATGAAATGTTTTGGGAAAAACCCCAACAATCAAAACTCTTACGTGGTTGGTTTTGCATAGTTAAGACAGATGGGACACCGTAGGAACTTAGCAAGTGTTATTTTTGTAGTTGAGCTGCAAAGTTTTATTTCAAAGGATCGTTGTCTTTTATTTTATACCTGGTCAAATGATACTTGTTTTGTAGTGTCTTCAAAGTAATTTTTTTTTCTTTTTTTATGTTTTATATATTGTTTTTTGCTCTTTGGACACTTGGCAATGGCATGTGAATTAATCAACTTGTTGTCCTAAATTGTCCCAAGAAAATGACTATTTGAACTCTCTTGTTTCTTAAAAATACTCAAACAAGATATTGTACTGAATGCTTAAAGTGTAATCGTACACATTTTCGTATTTTCCAAGTTTTGTATATTTCTCTCTCTCTCTCTCTCTCTCTCTCTCTCTGTCTCTCTCGTCAAGATTATGAAGACTTGTAGGGTAAAGGGTCGATGTTCGTCATATCCACCAACCTAAGCCAAAGCCAAGAGAGACACAAGTCAAAACCCAACAAAAGTGGAGATCTGTATATTCAACCACCCATATGGTTTTTGTGCCATATTATCAACAAATGAGATTAAAATAATCGAAAGGAGAGAAGACACATGTAAAATTTTCAAAAATCTTTATGGAAAGATCGCTACAAGAGTTCAAAAATAGCGGTTGTCGATAATATTTGATCAATACAAGAAAATGGAAAGAACCCTAAACTTAAAAAAATCTCTTTTTATAGCCACAGTAGACTTTAGGCCTTTTCTTTTTCCTTCTCAAAGTTGAAAACACAACTTTTTTAGATGTAAGTTTTTTGTGTTTTTAAAGGTAAAAAAATGCTATATATATATATTAAGAGATACCATAACTATTTCATTAAAAAATGTGCGAGCTGGAACATACCAAATGAGAGATATATGAAAGCACTCCGATTAAGCGAGCAAACATCGTAATTACAAAATAGGTTAGATTTGGAAGACCAAGATGATGTTAAGACTATGATGTCATCACAAAGTTGGAGATATCTGCAAAGATCTATTATTTCTTTGATTAAAAAAAATATTTTGGTCTTTTACTTTCACTAAAATAATAATTTAATCCCTAAATTTTAGTCTGTAATAATTTAGTCCTTGTACTTTTATTAAAGTAATAATTTAGTCCATAAAATTTAGTTTTTAATAATTTAGTCTCTATAGTTTAAACTTTGTAATAATTTAGTCTCTATCGTAAAAAAATTATTAAAATTAAGTGTAAAATCTTATCATATAACAATTTAATATTTCTAATTTATAAACATATTTGGTTCCCCTTCAATTAGTTTATCAATCTATATATATAAGGAACTTAGCAAAAAAATTCACAATAAGACTAAATCGTTACAAACTTTAAATTACAAGGACTAAATTGTTACGTATTAAAGTTCGAGAACTAAATTGTTGTCAATTTGAAAGTACAATGACTAAATCGTTACAAATTAAAGTTGAGGGACTAAATCGTTACTTTGGTGAAAGTACAGGGACTAAAAGTATTTTTTAACATCTTTCTTTCTAATTCGACCAAAAAATAGCTCCCACAACGAGAGGATATATATAGATTTGTATATGCTTATTTGAAGAAGTATGTATGGATGTGTTGAGTTTATAAATGAGAGAAAAAGTTTAATCACTTGAACTTAGAGTTTATATTACAATGATGTAATGGAGAACTTTATAAAAAAGGATCAAGTTCAAGTTAATGATGAGATTGTGCAGATTGATTTTTAAATTATCTTATTTCAACAGTGCGACTGCAAATTGCAATGAGAAGATCCAAGACTTAACCTTTTAAAGCGATCTGTTATTTATTTTTAATGCTCTTTTAAGCGATGTAATATTGTATTAATTTGTATGCGTACTTGCACCAAATTTAGCTTATTGCCAAATGACAACATCATTCAGCTGAGACAAGTATGATAAATAGTTTAGAATCTATTGGGAAATAAATATATTATTCTAAATTTTGTATTTTACTTTCTAAAAGTTGTTTATGAGATAAACAAACTAAAAAAAAAAGGTTAGTTTCAATGAATTAGTTTCGCGGATGGTGGCGTAGTTGAATGAGGATACCCCTCCTCCATTCGAGCCTCGTGGAACGCGTAGTCGGAGCTTTCCCCACCCCTATTTGAGGGCGAGTCCCGCAACGTCGATTACAATGTTAGATAGTCGTTGACACCTCTCGATTATAAGAATCCAACTAGCAAAATCACACAACATTAATTCTAAATTAAAAAGAAATAAAGAAGAAAAGAATAAATAATAAAGATTTTAAAAAGTAGATGGATGAAAAATAGTATTTAAAATTTTTTAAAAAAAGTAGAAGGCGAAGAAATCAAATAGAATCCCAAGTCTGCTATTTCGAATATTATGTCTAAAATTCCCCTTTAAACGTATGATTCTATTCAAGTAAATTCCATTTTTCAAACTAATTTATGAGTTATCCTTACCTTTATGATCACAATGTACAATTTCTGTTTAACCTTAAAATTACTGCCTAATAAAACTGTCCCAAGTCAGCCTCATTTAGAGAAACAAAAAAAAAAAAATTCCTTATAAACTAATGTAGTTTAAAAGATTTCTTTTTGTGGATAAATGATGAACATCATATTCAAATAGAGTCGAAAAATTGCAACCGCGCGCAGAAGAAAACGATTCCCACTAAAGCTTCGCATGGCACGGGCACTTTCAAGTTCAACAACAGTGAAACAAAAGAGAAAAAAAATCAAAATTTTTCATCATCGTTCCTACAATATATCTGGCGCAGTCATGATTCCCCACTTGAATTAATGAACAGAAAACCAAAAAAGAAAAAAAAGAATGTAGAAAGATTTCCATAATTATTATTAAAGAAGAAAAAAAAAAGGAGTTGATGAAGACATTATGGACAGCTGAAACTTGGGCGTTTGAAAGGCAAGATCCTGCGGTACTCTTGTGTGTGGCCATTCGTCAAACAGGTTGTGTGCAATATTAAAGCCTGGCCCCTCCAATGGCAAATGGCAACACCTTATTAATCTCGCTGCTTTGGCAAAGGACACGTAGACGTGGAGATGACGAAATGGGTGATGTATATGCTATATGGTTGAGTAAATTTTCAATTACCCAAAAGCTACTTTTGTTTTTCACTGTAACTCTTTTTTTTTTTCTTTCTTAATTTTTTTAGGGTTAAATTACAAGTTTAGTCTTCTACGTTTAGAATGGTACTGTTCAATAAATTATCGAATTTCCAATTTTGTTTCTCATATAAATTTCTAAACTTCAAAAGTGTTTAATTGATTTGTGATAATTGAATTTTTTATTTTGTGTCTAATATCAAATCTTTAAACTTTAAAAAGGTATTTGATAGATATATTAGACCCATTAGAGGTAAAATTAAAAGTTCAAAAAAATAATTATACACTTTGTGGATATATTAGACATAAGTTAAAAAGAGATATTTGTTAAACACTTTTCTAAAATTTAAGAATTTATTAGACATGGAAGATACTTCCTATTGGCCACCACGTGTTAAATGCAGAAAAGAGAGACTTTTTAAATTTTCAAAAAATAACACTTGCAAGAAATCTAATGAGCCCAACAAGTCACTAGGTAAATAAGTATTATTTTTCCCGATACTTAACTTTTTAATGAAGAGATTGTTTTAACCACCCTTGAAAAATTGACAAATATATATATATATATATATATTTGTTTTTACATTTCATGGAGTCAGTATTTTTCCTATACTTGATTCTTTAACGGTGATGACCAAATCTTGTCCTCATTACCTCAAAAAAATTTACAATTCATATAAAAGGTATTTGTCTTTCTTGCTTGTCAAATATTTAATGGTAGTAAGGACGAAATTTATCGTGTCCAGGAGCCAAATATTTTTCAATTTAGAAACTTGTTAACGAGTAATTTTTATTTTTTATTTTTATTTTTTTGGTATCTATGATGTTTTTTTTATGACTAGAGAAAGAAATGGGAAGAGTTTTTATGGGTAGTTACATGTGTAAGCTCCATATTCAGCTGAGGCATCTCCATTTTGTGGAGGCAACCGCAGCAGAACCCTGCCATTGTAGTTCCTCAGTCATTTTCATGGCAAAAATGGGTGGACCCCAGAATCTTGTTCCCTTCTTATTAATCTCCCATTTCGTGAGTGTGTGCGTGTAGTATATATTAATTAAGCTGGGGAACGTAAGCCCAGCAACAACAAACTCAACAGGGCTTTATATAAGCTTTGTGGCCTTGTGGGGCTCTTCAAACTTCAAACAACACAACCAAATTGATCACCAACTGTTTGTTAAAAGGCCTGAGCCATTTCTACCGCTGCTCTATTGTCATTATTCACATGGGGAGGCAACCTTGCTGCGACAAACTTGGAGTTAAAAAGGGTCCCTGGACGGCCGAAGAGGACAAGAAGCTCATCAATTTTATTCTCACCAATGGTCAGTGCTGCTGGCGGGCCGTCCCCAAGCTCGCAGGCCTCCGCCGCTGCGGTAAGAGCTGTCGCCTCCGCTGGACCAACTATCTCCGCCCCGACCTTAAGCGAGGCCTCCTCACCGAAGCCGAAGAGCAATTGGTCATCGATCTTCACGCCCGTCTCGGAAACAGGTTCGTGTTTTCGTGTCCGTCGCGAGACAATAGAAGCTCCTACTAACTTTCTAAGTGGGTTATATTTATTTTGAATGGTTTGGAAATATTTTCCATATCTTAGTATTTTACTTTTGGATCATCCGTTTGGTGCAATTAAAATTATCAAAAGAGAAAAAAAAAAGTTTTGATTTTCTTTTAATTTTGTTCCTACCAATTTTGCTGGCTTTGAGTTCCAAATTAAAGCTCCTTCTCAACCACCTCCAATTTCTTGAACATTAAGTTGAGAAGATGATTTGCATTTTGAAGTAATGTATGGGAAGAAGACAAACTTCAGTCTAAAGCATTCAATTTGGGGACAGCAGAAACGTCAGCTTCTAATCCAAATTTTGCATCTTGGCCTTCAAATACTATGTATATCCTTCCCCATGTCCGTTTCATATTTCATGTCGCTTTCTATCCCAGTCAAAATCCTTTAATCATCATCGTAATTAAAATATCTATAAAAGATTAAATTTTGATTATAATGATTCTTTCCTCAGATGGTCCAAGATTGCGGCTAGATTGCCGGGAAGAACGGACAACGAGATAAAGAATCACTGGAACACACACATAAAGAAGAAGCTTCTCAAAATGGGGATTGATCCTGTCACTCATGAGCCCATCAAAAAACAGCCAGAGGAGACCACTGATCAGTCCCCAAAGGCCAACACCAACAACGCCAAGAAGGAAAATTCCGGGGAAAACGACAGCGTTTTGGAGAACTCAAGCTCCTCGCCGGCGACGGAGAACAGCAGCTCCGCCGCCACCGACGACTCCCTTCTTCTAGAAAATCTCTACAACACAAGCAGCAACTTTTGGATTGAGGAAGAAGCGCTTTGGAACAACCACAACCCACCAGCAGCAAATGGAGCCAATAATTTTGTGTGGGAGGAAAATAATTGCTCATGGCTTCTGGATTGCGAGGATTTCGGTATCCATGATTTTGGTTTCGACTTTTTTAATGATTTTGAATCAAATAACGCCATCAACACAACAGAAATGGAAGGAAAGCACTAGAGAGAGAGAAGAAAAAAAGACCATAGTAAAAAAGTACATGAGATTAAATTTCCTTTGTCGAAGTTAATTAATTAATGTGCACATGTTACAAAGTACCATGTACATGAACTTTGGGGTAAATTGTGTTTATTCTTGGGGTAATTTATGTGATTATGGGTAGAAAAAAGTGGGCTTTAGAAAACATGAACAATTCAAAAAAAAAAAAAAAAGAAAGAAAAGGGTACAGTGACATCAAGAAACCTGGTCATAATTAACATGTGATATTGTTTTTGGTTTCTCTCTCAACAAACATTTGTAAGCTTGTGTAAGATCTAGAGAGAGAAAGAACAGATACCATGTTTTTATTTATGTATATTTGGCTCTTAGCAGGCCCTTTCAACTCCTGTAAACCTTGTATTTATTCTGGAAATAATAAAGAAAAGAGAGAGAGAAGAAGATAAGGTTTTTACTCGTTTCTTTTGTTATTTCTTCTTTTTGTGTGTGTGTTTTCTTGAATAATCTCGACCGTTTGGAAATCTGTTCTTATCTCATCCCTTATATGGTCTGAACATGGAGAAAGTTTCAAGTTTTTAATCTTTTTCTGGTGTACTGTGAGTATTTTTATACAAAGTGGCCACCATAATGTTTCTTTTGTGTATATATATATTTATATATGATCATTAATAATTACTAATTAGTTTTACCCCATGTTGCCTGTTTGTCCATCTTTCTTACAAAAGAAGTGCACTCTTTACTAAAAAGAAAAGTGCTTTTTAAATATAATATGGTTTCCAGGGTGAGATTTAAAGCAATATATATTTTTAGTTTAATTATTGATGGAATTATTGGCTGATAAAATTTCCAATTTATTTAAGATTTTTATTTTTTAAGTTCAAAATTTTCTTCCTTATGGGTTAGTGCTTGTTAGGATATTTTTTTTTCCCACAATGTAAGGCGATAATTATATATAATTCCTAAAGTTGGTTTGAAAATAATTTTAGGCTTAGAATGAATCGTTTAAGGAAATAATTTTATCATATCTAAATCGTTTTACAAATTCATTTATTTAAAAAGACAATTTTAAAGTTTACTTGTAATGATCCATGAGTTGTCACCAATTCCAAGTAAAACTAACTATTTTTTTTATCGATATTACGAGAGCCTAAATATATACCTATACATAAATTTTTTAAATATTGCTGGTATGAACTTAGTTTAAAGGTAATTAGTATTTATCTCTCAGTCAAACCCCTATTTCTTATAAATTTTTGTAATAAAAAAGATTTATTATATTTTATTATCATAAATAAATGCATACTCAGATTAACCCATCAATGATTTGAAAATAATAGATAGATAAAAAATTTAAATATTATGCAATAAAGAGCCCACAAAAAAATTAGGTAGACATATTTTTTATATCATACCTGTCCCCAGAAAAGAAAGAAAAAACTGTGCTTCTTGAAATGAGATAGCAAAGAGGGGCACAAGGAAGCAGCTTTCTATTCGATTTTCATCACTAACTTTGTTGCACTTTAACCACAATTATTTCAATTTCTTAATTCCCTCAATTTTTCTATATCCTAAAATATTATTTCCCAACCTACCTAAAAAAGCACCCTTAATTAAACATATTTATTTCCTTCTTTTTATGACTAAGATACTAAAATGTTAGTAATTGTGTTTAAAGGCTGTTGGATTTTCTTACATCAATTCATCATAAACAAACATGATATTTCTTTCGAATAAGAAAAAAGGTTAGAGATAATATAATTAATTCACCAACATTACAATTAAGTTGGTCCATTATAATGAACACTTTACAAATGGAAAAGGACCCATTATTAATTAAGGGAGAAGCATGCCAAAAGATTTTTGAATTTTGAGTTGGAGAGGGACACCACAACTAAGATTCTCTCATTCCTAAGTGCTATTTGGAATGGTGGCCTCAAAAAATAAAATAAAATAAAATAAATAAAGGAGAGCGAGTAGAATTAATGTTTATTAATAATTGTGAACCCTTTTTAATTTTGATCGAAATTGGGTTGTGTTTTAAATGTGCAAATGCATTAAAAAATGGCCGAAATTGATTACTTTTTTGAAAAGCAATGAAACCCAATTCACATAATAAAGGTAAGAAAAGATATAGATTTTGTTTTGGCCCATGCTCTCTCTTTTTATCTTTTGGCTTGAAAACAAATACTATTACGAAACCTCAAATATTTAAATTTTTTTATTTTAGTTTTATGATAATTGGGCTACTCTTTAAATTTGAATTTGTTTGTCAAGGAGAGCATAGCTAACGATAATTGGCATATATCTCCAAGAGGTTGTGAGTTCGATCCCCACCACTATATGTTGTACTAAAAAAAATTTGAATTTATTTTTTATTCTACCCAAATGTTAAATGTCTGCTCCCAATTTAGATGAGTCACAAAAGTAGGGAAAAGATCAAAAGTAGATTTGCTATTAATAAAGAGTTGACACATTGTGCATAGCCTAGAAATGGGAGATAATTGGTATACTATTTTGTTTATCCTTCCCTCATTTTCACTCACTGCCATCAAATTCACTCTCATATGTGGCACTTTGTAACCCCAGGTAAGGCCAAAACCGCTCTAGAATTTAACTTATTGTAGAGGAATTTCCATGGAAATCAAGATTGATGCACGATGAAGGTTACCTAGAGGACCCATACAATGGAATAGAATATTAGCGAGCCAAGTTGGCGACAAATAAAGTTCATGGACAAATGAGTTAAATCCTAATTGGGTTGAGAGAAATTGATTTAATTTGGAAACATGATCTAGATTAGTTTAAATTTTATTTTCCATTCATGTAAGGCAGAGATTTTAGAGATTTAATTTTGAGTTTGAAATAGAATTTTTGGCGCCTGAAATGTGGGCGGGTAAAATTGTCAAATGATGCAAGTGTCAGTTCCCATAAACAGTGGATGTGGGTGGGATAAAAAGGGAATTGCCCTTTTCATAATTTTCAGAAATTCAAATTTGGTCTTCTATACAAAATACCAGTGGTGTTCACGGATCGGGTTGGGGATATTTTTGGGACCAACCCGAATTTTCGGGTTGGGAATTTGTGGGAACCGTCGGGTTGTAAAATGATGGCCAACCCAACCCAATCCAACCTAATAAATTCGGGTTGGGTCAGGTTTTGTTGCCGGGTTTTTTTTAATTGATTAATTAATTTACTTTTATTTTGTTTATACTATGGACAAAAAAAATATAGAAAAATCAAAATCTTAATTGAGTTGGATTTTTCCAACTCAATGTTAGATTCAACCCTAGCGATCGGTTTCCCTATAGACTCCCATTTAATGAGTGGGTTGACCCGTTAACAAAATCGTAGAGTAGGCCCATGAATGAAATTATGACAACCCTTTAGAGATTGGGCTAACTCGAATTGATTGAGCCTTGTTGTTGCTTAAAATCATCAATAAAATTAATTATCTCCTCTATTTTTTAATTTAAGCATCTTAACCACTTGAGCTATACTCGATTTGACTTATATTATTTTTATTTGTTATTTGATAAAGTTGATTACTAAATGACTAAATACTCCATAAATGTACATAGTAGTTTACTTTTTCTTTTTTAATTTAATTGTTATTTAATAGCTTTTATTGTTAAATCAACTACTGATAGAAGGCTCTCTCCAAGGGAATAGATAAGTAATTTCACTTAATAGGTTGGGTTAGGTCGGATAAATGATAGTTTGATCCTTTGGGAAAAGAAAAAAAAAACAATTTAAAAAATGTAAAATATTGAAAATTTAAAATAAAGAGATTTTCTTATTCAAATGTAAAGTATTGAAAATTTAAAATAAAGAGGTTTTCTTTTTCTTTCTTTTATTTTTTATAAAAAATTAAAATAAAGAGTTCGGATTTTGTTTTTTTAGGCTTATTTTCTATCCATGCTAAAATAAAAGGTATTGGGTCTAGAAGAAACATCCGTTTCAACAATTTCTCCATTTCTTTTTAAATTTAGATTTTTAGAACCTAACAAATTAGAAAATTTCATAATTTCACGCCAAGAAAATTGATGAAAATCATTTAGAATCTAAATAAATAAAGAATAAGAATATGTAGCCTAATTGTTTTCTTGCTAAATTACAAAAAAAATATATATATATAATAATAATAAAATCTTATTTCAAAAGTTTAAAAAATGCACCTCATATTTTGAATGGAATGATGATGGGGCATAATATGAAATGATGTGAAAGAAAAAGGTTTAGGGCAACAAGACGATTATGGAAACAACGTTGACAACGGAAGAAAAAAACTTTTAGGGTAAAATTAAGTATGAAAACGGAGAAAATGTAGAAGACTTCCATCTTAATTGGCATGTCGTTTCAAATTTTGCCGTGTCAACTTTTCGATCAAAATATGAATGGATATTTACTCAAACAGTATTTTTGAAAAATTTAGGTAAAGACTGAGGTATTTTTTAAGCAAAATACAAAGTTAAAAATATTTTTGGTAATTTATCATTCTTTCATTTACTTCACGGTTGACACAGATCTGCATTTCGTTTTTCCTTTCAACTTTTATTACACGATAAATCTATATATCAATAACTAAAATTTTCTTTGGCAGCTTTTTTATTTTAAGATTTGAAAATAAATTAATTAATATAACTACTTTCAATATGCACTGAATTAAAAAAGATAGAGAAAAAAAAAGAAAACAAAATAACAGCGTGACAATATTTGTTTTTTGAAGAGACAACCTCCTTATGTGTTAAATTCAGAGACAAATTAAAGACAATAGATTAAAACATTTAGGGTCCGTTCGATAATCATTTCATTTCCTGTTTTTAATTTTTGAAAAAAATAAGGGTGTTTGATAATCAATTTAATTTTCTGTTATTTTTTTTATTTTTTAAAAATCATTTTGAAATTCTACGTAAATTTCAAAAACAAAAGAAAATGTAATTTTTAAAAATAGATTTCTGTTTTTCAAAATTTCATTTTACCTTCTAATAGTTAATTTTTTTTTCTTTTACATATTTAAATCTAACAAATTTCTTTTATTTTTCTTTTACATTTAAATCTAACAAATTTCTTTTAGAAGGTACGTCCTATGTGGTTTAAACTCAAGATCTCAAGGTGAGGTTCCATGCCATCCAAGTTATACCTTGGGGACAAAACTAATAATAAATAATAATTCTAAAAATAATTAATATATATTTATTACACTTTTTAAATTCTAAAAATAATTAAAATTAATTATAAAACCGGTAATTTTTCTCACGAATATCCCCGTTCCCAAATAAAGATTCTTTAACTTGGAGCTCGATTCCCGAACCGAAAAACAAAGTGGAGACGATGACTAAAATTTTTCATGAGCACAAGAATGAGAGAGGACATTCTCACTCCCGTTCCACCATTCATATCTCTACTTTACATAGAATTTTCTCTCTCTAATATATATTTTCAATTTTATAACTTTTTAAAACAGA